GTAGGTGCCCTAATGTATTGTCTAACCCTAACCAAGTGGATGCTAAATCACTATTAACTACATCACCGATTCTATTCTCCTCCTCCTCTTCTAGTTCAAACTCGTTCACATCAAGTTATTGCTTATACAACCTACTTGACTTGAATGAAACTGCTCCTGCGTCAACTGACCGTCCAAATCCATGTTATCTTGAGTTGCTTCCTTTTCGACCCTCAATTCTTGCTCATTGCCTCCAACACCGTCAATAGACAGTCTGTCTAGGACACCCTGCATCCTGTACCCATTTTCCACCACCACCTCAGCCATGGGCACATTGAAACCTTGGAGCATCCTAGTGTAGCGGGACCAGTGAGCAGGGTCGCGTAAGGGCATCAGGACATAGTGTGTCCTAATTTTCCCAGTATCAAACCTCCCTTTAGTGTGAAATCACCGCCAAACTTTGTATTCAAACGGACACAAAGGTCGTTGAAAGCTAGAATGTTTATCAAACCATTCCAATTCTTCTTCCACATCCTCAAACATACAATCTTCTCTCCTAACACTTCATCTATAAAAAAATTCTAACACAACAATCAATCTACAAAAATATTTCAAGAAACTTCATCAAGTCATCGAAATCATCGTACGTACTGTCCATAGTAATATTAATACATATTCTAACTATAACTATACTAACTAATCTAATATTAACATCTATACAAGACTAACTACAACAACTAATTATACTAAATACAATAACTAACTAGATTCACTAAATGTACTAACTTATTATACTACCTATACTAACTAAACTAACTAACTTTACTAACTATACTAACTTTACTTATTATACTAACTTATTATACTAATAATATCGATTCAATCAACAAATACACTAGGGGAGTACCTATGGCGTGGCCTTCGTCCTCATGGCAAAGGCGTGCGCGCCGTCTCTCATGTGGTGGTGACGCGCTAGACCGGGCCGAGAGGCGCTGGGCGGCGCCGCTTCAGCGGTGTGCGGGTGTGGACGGGATAGAGATAGGGGCGTGCGGCAGTTGTTAGCGGTGTACAGCGGCGGCGCGGCAATGAGGAGGGTGGCGGGCGCGGCGGGCAGCCGCCGTGCGTGGTCGGAGGGCGCGACAAGCGGCGGCGGGCTGCCGGCGGCCGTGGCGCGCCGACGTTCGTGGTGCGGGTGGCGCGGCGGGCGGTGTGCAAGCGCTGCGGGCGGCCGACGTGCGTGGGCGACGGGCAGGGGGTGGCGTGGCGCGGTTGGACTGGGCCGCTGGCCTATATTTGCCTCTGCCGCACCCTGGCGAGTGGCGCGTCACAGCCGTGCCCTGATCGGTGGCGCGGCAGAGCTGTCCACGTCACCGCCCAGTGGCCCTAGTCGCTGCCACGTAGGCAACCTCGCCACGCCCCCATGCATGGCGTGGCAGCATTAATTCGCCGCGCCGTACGAATAGGCGTTATCAAAAGTGTTAGATTTGAAAAAAAAATTAAGTAGTGTTAATTTTAAAATTAGTTTAAAAAATATGTTAAAAAAAAAATTTCTCTCACGCTGGACAAACGTGTACCCGGCCGGGACTAGGAATTTGGGGTGGGGACATATCAGCCTGGGATGATTATCCTTTTGGTCCTTTTGGTGTATTAATAAACTCTACATGTTAAGCTGCGACAAGCATTTCTTCTTCTCCCTTGAATTTCTTCACGGCAATATCCAGATATTGCCCTTTTACATTTTTTTCTTCTAATAAAACTTACAGCAAAGATTTAGTCCCTTTAGAGAAAACAATATCCAAATCAAAAGGCCAGTCTCCCCTTAGATATGGAAAATACAAGTTCACACCTCATCAAAGATGATGATCATAGGTGAAATGAGTGTAACTTAGTTAAATGTTTAATTTTGTATGGGTGTTCACTTTTTCTTAAATTTATTCTAGTATTATGATTAAAAAATTATTCAAGTACTTTCCCCACAAATTTTTCTACTCTCTATTTCAAATTATAAAATGTTTTGATTTTTTATATCGATTGCTTTTATCTAGACATAGTATATATATATAGGTGTATAGCAGAAAGTATTTACTTAGAAAAGTCAAAACGTCCTGTCGATTGGAGTGGAGGAAGCTGTATTTAGCATCATTATTATCATGGTGGTGATATGCCTATATCGAGACGTCTGTGTTCACTCCGTCAATTTCAGAATCCTACTCCATTAGGCATCATGCATGACAAAAATGGAGCATGGCCGGATAAGCATTTTTCCGTATATCAAAATAGTTCTATAAATGTACACGTACACATAGCCAACCTGGCGTGCCCTGGATCCCGGGTGATAGAGGTGAAGATGGCAACATCTTGATTTGTTTGTTTATTAAGAGATCATGGAGTTGCTGTGCGTGTAGACTGTAGACTGGAATGGAACCCGGATGTCAACACCTTTTTTGAGCTGGGCTGGCTCTGACGATGGTGAGAATGCGACTGGTAGCCGGATTGATAATTTGCAATTTGACTATTTGAGCAACTCCTTGGGAGCAAGGAAAGCCAAGTTCAGTGTCTCTCCTTCTCTAGGGGTTGCCAACAAAACAATGACCCGTGTGTTCTTAAACTCGACTTGATTCGTTTTTTAAACTCAGTATTTTCGATCACAAATTCCTCCAAAGATTTTTCAAATCATTCAAATTAAAGAATTTTTTCTCTCATGTGCCAAATATCGATTTTTAAAAAGTCCTCCCTATCATTCAAATCATTCAAATTGGGCTCGTTTAGTTCCCACCAATTCCTCTGCAAAAAAACAGGCTACATTAAATATCATTGATTAATAATTGACGAGAAAATTAAAAGTCCTCCCTATCGTTTGGGGCTCATACTTGTAGCTGGCAAAGTTTATCTTATCATTCCCTTTTTCTCTCTCTCTTCTCTTCCTGAGTCATGGTGCTGTTCGGTTGGTTGATTTTCGGCTGCTATTAATTTATTGTGAAAGAAAAATACTATTATATAATTAAAAAGCAGTGCTGAATTTAGCTAATAAACTCAAACGAACATGGCTCATGATTTTTCAACAATAGCCCTTGTCATCGTCGAATGAATCCCTGACTTTGCAAAATACAAGATGTCAAACTTTGCCCACTGCGTCACTTCTGTAGCACAGTGGTGTGGTGCAGCATATGCCTCAGTGGCACGGTGTGGCCGTGTGGCCTCGACCTCCACTCCACGTTATCGGTGTGGTCTCGAGCCTGCATGATGGAGTGACGAAGGTTGGGTAAGGCTACAGCGATGTCTGCCTTAGGGGCGGTTCGGTTGCGGCATTCCCGGTCGTTCCTAGCCAGGAACGGTTTCGGCCTCGTAGAAATTAACAAAAAAAACGTCGAGACCGGGAATCAATTCAATATAACCGAATGAGGCCTTAATAAGTTTCTAATGAACCGTGCAACGGTGATCAGAAAAAAGTGGCAAATTCTTTTTTTTTTCATTCTCCAAGTTAGACAATAGTCTAATTTTCAATCCTAAATTTTGAAACAAAGTATCGGACACCGTTCAATTGCCTAAACCGGGCAAATTCAGTCCCTTAGCTCATTTCAAAGATGGTTTTCTATTTTCTAAAAATAATAAAAGCTATAGTTTAATCTCTAAAAACCCATAACTAATTTATTTTAAATAAATCATAAGATTAAAGTACTATTTTTTCTAAAAATATTAGTTATCTAGCCTATAAATTAATTTATTTTCTTGAAACGCCAAATAATTTAGCTGCGGCTATAGCTGTCATAGCGGTTTGAGCAAATTAGCGTGAATGTCATGTCCCGCCATTTTGAACAGGGACTTTTAGAGATCAAACTACATTTACCACATTTGAAACCACTTGAATGGATAAATTTGTCTTGTTTTAAACGTTGGAGAGCATTGAGTAACCGGTTTCATAGTTTATTATCTTGAGACCATTGGATAAAGCTCCCTGGAGCAGATTCTCCACGAGAATCACTCCTTGTCACCCAAACAGTAAAATCCTGCACAAATTACACCGAGAGGTGGGAGCTAAAAAAAAAAAGCATGTTTCTTATTGCTATGTATTCAAAACCTGCCCGAATGACTTAGAATCAATTCTCATTTGCTCCCCACGCAACTCCACTCCCTTGTAACAATCAACTAGAAATACTTTATCAAAGAATTAAGGAGCTGAAGCTAAAAATCAAGAAGAAGTGAAACTGTACCAAACAGCTGAAAACACACCGCCGCGCGAGTTAGAGGATAAAAAACAAATTTTACCCTCTAAAAATGAACCAAAAAGACACATATTTGTGTGTTTCAATTGTATTTGCCCCAGGGAGACTGGGACAGACATCCCAGTTCACCGTCTTATTTTCCTGAACTCTTTCACCGCATCGTCCGTCATCGTCGCAACACGGTAGGCTCATCCGCCTTCCCTGCTGGTCTTGTTCGACCCAACCAATTCTTATCATGGACAAACTCTGATTAAACCAGTTGACAAGACGAATAGGAGTATGTGTGATACCATTTCGTGTCTAACTACAGTCAGATCTCGCATCCAAAGGGAAAGGGGCAGGGGAAATCCTCCGATAGCAGCACCATCAGTAGCGGCAAGATCCTGGTCCCTGACTCCTTATCTCCTACTGAATCAATCCTGATTTGTCACCGCTGAATTGTTTCTGTTTTTGTAGTTGTATATACCAAACCGGATTTGTCAACACTGAATTATCCTGAGTTTGTAAAATTGGTACATCATCAACCCGTGGTCTCTTACATGGACACACGTGCCTCCATTGAGCAGGCGAGGGTCCGTCTTCAACATGGTCTAAAAGATGGATCTTCTAGTCGGGTTAGTCTGTTTATGTTGGTCAGTTATGAAATTAGTGTGTTCATGGATAGACAGAATTTTTTCTTCTTCTGAGAACGATGATTTCATTCAACTCCTCATATACAGGCTGCCAAGTACTGCTACAGCAGAAACTCCACAAAACGGTCCAAATTTACAAAACTGACACAGCAACAGTCGAAACTCTTCAAAACGACAGGTTGTCCTCGACGAGGCAGCCGTCGTCGAAGCTCCACAGCGGCATGGCGTTGCTCTGCACGGCGTCCGCGCTGAACAGGCTGTCCAGTGGCTCGTACGCGCCGGCGTCAAAGAAGGCGAACTGGTCGCCGAAGAGGAGCGCGTCGAACAGCGCGTCCGGCTCGGAGCCGGAGGAGGCCCGGGGCGACGCATCGTCTTCGGTGCTCTCCGGCTCGGTCCTCGGCCGCTTCTTGTCGCCGCTCTGGCCGGCCTCGACGTCGAGGGCGGGAGCCTCGTCGTACGCCGAGAACACGCCCTGCCACGAGAAGTCCGGGAGCGCGCCGGCTGCTTCTTCGGCGGCCTCGTGCTTGAAGAACGCCGCCGCCGCACGCTGCTCTTCCTCCTCTTGGTCGACGAGGTCGATGATGGCGGCGTCAGCGGCGTGGGCGCGCTTGCGGCTAGCTGGAGCCCCGGCGGAGGAGGAGGAGGGAAGTTGAGCTTGGCCCTGGGTCCGCGGACGTCGCGCGCGGCGTGGTCGTAGGCGAGCGCGGCGGCCTCGGCGGAGGGGAAGGTGCCGAGCCAGACGCGGACGCCCTTGACGGGGTCGCGGATCTCGGCGGCCCACTTGCCCCACGGGCGGCGCCGGACGCCCCTGTACTGCTGCGCGGGCTTCCGGCGCCGGCTCGGCTGCTCCTGGCGCGCCCTGGGCTTCGTCGGCGTCGCCGGGGACGACGAGGCGCGGAAGACGAAGGCGGGCTTGCTCTCCACCTCCACCTCCTCCACCGCCTCCATCATCTCCTCGTCCTCCTCGGAGTCCTCCCGGAACGCTGCCTCGAAGTCGTCGGCCTTCCGCTGCTTGCCCTTGCCGCCGCCGCCGCGGCGCGCCGGCGTGCTCGGGATGAGCTCGGCGAGGATTGCACCACCACACATCTTTGCTCTGCCTGTCTCTCTACTTCCTGGTTGGTTTGGTTGGGTTCTGGAAGCGAGTCGTTCGCTAGCTAGCCTTTTTGTGCTTGCTTGGGAATGAATTGAGGTCTCGGGCCGACGAGGCGCTCTTAAATAGGGAAGGAGAAGAAGAGGAGGAGAAGGCGCTAGCGAAAGCGGCGGTGACAACAGACAAGTGGGTGTGGTGGTGGTGGCGTGGGGGCTCCAAAATTCGCGGGAAGGCAGCTTCATGACAGCGTGTGAGGGGATAAGGCCGGGCGGTTGGACCCCGGAAGAGGTCGGGTGGTGCAATGCATTGCATCTGCCCCCGCCCAGCCAGTTGCGTCTGGCGTCCCGGCCACGCTTGGTGAGGACGGAGGACAGAGCGACGGCAACAGCCGTGTAGACCCGGGCGGCCGGGCTGGGACGCGCCGCGGGCGTGCCTGGTCCGCGGTTTTTGAGCTTTTCGGCGATCCGGGGCAGCGGTCCTACTCTGCGGCCCTCGTTGTTGCCGCTGAACGCACCGAGGGGAGTGGAGACCCGACACCGAGAGCGCGTGCCCGCCACGCGCTGGAGCCCTTGGAGCGCGTCGCGAGGCGGCCACAGGGTCTGCCGCAGAGATGGTTGCCAGCGTCGCGCGCGACGGTGTCCGGCTGTCCGCCAAACCGAAATCCTCCTCCCGTCCCCCAGTTTGTGGGAAGGCTGTATTGGCAAGTGGCGCAACTGCGGATCGTCGTTAGCTGCTCCACTCCACCAGTAAAGAAAGTGTGGCGTGACAAGACCGAAGGGTTAGCGCTAATGATGATTTGACAAAGTTTTAGCAAGTGGAGGGAGAGGCTTCGGGCCTTTTCCAAGTGCCCCCCACATAAGAGACGACGAAACACCAATAGCGTAACGCAGTCCTTTTTCGGGCTACACAAATAGTCTAGAAGTAGACAAATCGCGGCGAGCGGTGTTTCGATACATCGTCTTCGGTCATGTGCTCTAATGATCAGAGACCCAAAACCAGGAGGCTCGCCCAAGTTTCTCGCAGTGGTATTGGTAATGGGAGTAGTGGGAGGGCTGGCATGGACAGAGCTCACGTGGTTGCTGCGCTTAGCTGAGGAGCCAAGCTCAACGATCGGCAAGGTCGAGAGCTCCACGCAAACTGACAAACTCCAAGCTTATCAACACACGAGATATTTTTCCCCTCTCTGCGCGTTGACACGGCGAGAAAACGGGAGATGTTCTCGATAACACGAGAGGTCTATGAATTTATTATTTTTTTATTCACTTTTCCTATATTTCAGGTCCCTGAATATTAAGATGATTTTAGCCAACACTCTTATATCTCTAACTAGCACAAGTAAATTGTTACTTTTATGATTTATTATGTTTTGTGTCATAACATATCAAATTTTGTCCTTGTCTTTCTATAGAAAATAATTGTGAATTGTTAATTATCTTTGTGCCAACATAAATCAGATTTTATCAGGTTTGTGGTTTTGTGTAACGGGTTTTTATTCTCGGTTCTAAAGTTGCAGATTACGTTTATAGAAATTACAACAAACAAAATCTACAATTTTATTATAAAATATATGCAATAACTGTCGCCCGAAAGGAAACTCAAATTCATGCAGCAAATCCCTTTTTTATTATGACGACTTGACATCTTCATCATTTTTCTGTATGTATTGTTGGGCCGTTCCATGGGCCTTTGAAGCCTTTTTCTCTGTTCTAAAGCTAACTGGACTGAGTTTCGATTAAATGCGTTTATGGGCCACGAGTCCACGACCACAGGAGTCAGCACAGGACTACAAGATGTCCAATTTGTTTGCAGACTCGATGAGGATGGGGTATGGAAGAGGTACGTACAGAACTCATTCGGTTTGATTGCCCTAAGGACTGCTAATTGTCTTACTTTTATGGGGTTGGTGGGACGCGAAAAATAAAGCTAATGCCGGTGAGATCGTTTAGTAATTGGGAGTGCAGGACATGGACAGTCGTTGCTGCGCTTAGCTAAGGTCTCGCCAAGCTCAACGATCGGCAAGCTCGAGAGCTCCACGCAAACTCCAAGCTTGTCAACAGTAGAGCTAGAAAATTGAACGCAAAAATTCCAAGATCTTTTCCCCCTCTCTACGCCTGCGCGTCGACACAGCCAGAAAACCGGAGATGTTCTCCATAACATGACAGGCCTATTTTTTTTTTTTTGAGAAACATGACAGGCTTACGAATCTTAAACTCTTATAAAGCAAAACCCCATTAACCTATTTCTCTGCTTTCACGTTGTGCCACATCATCAACATTGGTCCAGCCGTCAGATCTTAAGTAGTCAACTCTATCCTCACTGTTGATTGTTTGAGCCACCCCTTTAGCTTCCAAGCCATTGGTAAAAGGTAACTGATCATCATTGCTGCAAATGGAGAAAAAAATTAATGGGCAATCACTAGGCCATCAGCAGCTTTTTTTTCTAATGCCAACGACACCACTCCTCTTCCGATTCCTCTCCCTGCTCCACCCATTTCCTGTATCGTGACAATAAAGGATATAATAGGGGGCTGCAGCTACCTTGAACAACCCTCCCTCCTCACGAGTGAATCCTCATCCATGGAAGCTTCTTAATCACCATGATCATTGCCGTAACTATCTCGATCTGCAAATCCTGAACCAGAGTGCTTCTTCCTTCTTGCCCATGACTCCATGAGGTAGCTATAGGCTCTGAAACTAGCAGGGATAGTGTCATGCTTCTTGGCACCTGCAGTGTTTCTGTACACATTATTATTTCTCATATACATTACCTCTGTTTCTAGAACTTTGTTTGCAGCATTGATTAGATTTTATTTGTTTCTTATTCTTATCTCCAATAGCTGCAGTCCAGATGCACGTCAGTGAGTCATCATTTTATTCTACTAAATGGCTGCATGTTTGTCTAGATCTCAAGATCGTCTATTCAGCTCATATAAGTAACGTTATGTTTTCCTTTGACATTTTTCATATTATCTATCTTCTAAAGTCAATAGAGGAGTTATTCAACTCCTCCTGAATTTTTTTATTCCAACTCCAACATGTTGTTTGCAATCATTCAAGAATGAATAATGAATGCTACTTGAATCTTTTAGCTCCTCCTACCAACTACAGATCTTTGATTACCAATCATCGTAAATCACACCACAATTCTCGCGGCAATGCGCGGGAATCATCTAGTTGTGTTACTATTGATGACGACTGGACGTTTTCATCATTTTTCTGTGTAATTGTTGGGCCCTTCCATGGGTCTGTGAAGCCTTTTTCTCTATCCTAAGCCAACTGGACTGAGTTTGGTGAAACGCGTTTATGGGCCACAACCGCAGGAGTCAGGACAGATCACAGGACTACAAAGATGTCCAGTTTGTTCGCAACTGTACGGAGATGGGGCTCATTTGCTATTTTGCTTCCTAAAATGCAAATTTGTGAAACATCGTTGAAGGGCTATGAAAGTTTGTTTGCAACTGTATGAAGATGGGACTCATTTGCTTTCTAAAATGCAAAATTGTGAAACATTGTTGAAGGGCTATGAATATGGAAGAGGTGTATACAAAACTCCTTTAGGGGCCGTTTGGATCTTTTCGTTTTGGAGGAATTGAAATCTAGATTAAGCTATTTGGCTTGGAATTTGACATTCCATATCTTCCCCAAGATCACAAATAAGCCTATCATAAATTCATAGGGTGCGAGATAAAAATGGATTCTATAGATCACTATTATGCTATAATTCTACTCTCCAACTTATAACACACTCTTCAACTCACTTTCATACAATAGAAATGCAACATATAAGTATGTCCCTTGTATGCCTAACAACAAATATACAAATATATTCCATATACAACTATATTAGCTTAATTAATCTATGTCTAAATTGCAACGGTTAGAATGAATTCAATTCCAACGATCCAAACGGGCCCTTAGTCTAATTGTCCCAAGGATTTGATCATGTCCATTATGTCAATGGAGAATAAAACCAAACTGCTAATTGTCTTACTTTTAGGGGCTAGTGGGATGCGAGAGATAAAGATAAATAATGCCGCTGAGATGGTTTAAGTACTTGTGACCAAGTAATTTACAGGATGGAGCATATGACTATTGAAATTGAGGCTTTGGTACCTGCACATTACAGTGAAGGTTCCAAGCTTTAATAAAATAATATTGGATCCCTCCCCAGCATGGAGGTTTGAAAATGAATGTTTGATGGTGCTTTTGAAGCTAGAACAAGTCTGGTGGTCGGGGTTTTGTAATAATTCGGAATAATGAAGGAACTGGCCTCATTGCAGGAACCGGTAATCACTAGGGATGAAAACGGATTGGATATGGACGGATATCACCGATATTACATTTGTTTTCATATTTCTGTCCGAATTCAGATTCGAATACGGATAGTGTCAACTATGTCGGATAGGATACGATTGGATATCGACATCATAAATATGCAATTTGAGTATTCAGATACGGATACGCTATCGGATGTTGGATATCCGGACTCGGATACGGACAGATCTCAACCCCTCTAAACGGATTCGGTTTCGAATATGGTCGGAAAATATCCATACCGTTTTCATCCCTAGTAATCACCACCAGTACACGATGCCCTATGTACCGTTTTCATCCCTTTGACCAATTTTGAGTGGAAACAACCTATTTATGGCTTGAGTGTTGATCTTAATTGATCGCAGGTTGTACATATTTATGACTTGATTGTTGATATGATGTGATTTAGCTTGAGAAGGATAAGAATTTGAATGCCACAATCATGGTCGAAAGATATCTATTTGATTCTTCAGTGAAAGTTCATCATACATCCTAGCAAAGGTTGCTATAAATTATGATATGATGTATTTTAATAATGTGATATTTTTAACTGCAATGATAGAGTAGCATATAATTCTTTCTTCGATCTCACTCCTTAACTAATGTTGTGTTGTTTTTCCTTAGAGGAGGCTTTTATAGAGAGGGCAAAGCGTGTAACTCTTGTGTGGAAACCAAGGTCTTTA